GAAAAAAGAATGGAATTTAATGATTATGCACTTGCCGAAGTTCTCACACGTAATCATTGCCTTCGCTTGAATTATGCACTACCTTAAGAGATAGCTGCCCTTTTGTTCTTAGTTTTATTTTCAATAATTAGCTGCAATAGCTAAACAGATGCTCGAGGCTGTGCTGCCCTTACGTTGTGCCTTTTTCAAGCTCTTTCTGCAGAGCAACACGGGAGAACCACACCATCGCCACCGCTCAGGAACAGAAATATCACAACGCTGACTCCCAGCATCAAATATTAACCCGAAGCCAGTGCAAGGCGTTGTGTCAGAAGACGCTCGATCCGCAAAGCTGGCTTCGTGCAACATGTTGCAGCTGGCGGGGTGTATTTATAGCTTTAAAAAAAAACCAAAAAAAAAAAAAACAACACAGCAAAACACTGGAAAGAGTAGAAAGCATTTTAAACAGCAAATTTGTCAATGTTTTTTCCTCGCTGCCGAGTCGGACGGTGGGGTCGGCGCTGGTTTAGATTAGCTCTGTCCCGTGCAGTCGGACGGTAGCAACGTGAACCTGCAGCGCACGGATCCGGGGATAGCAGGGAGAGGAGGAGGAATGCGGGGAATGTTTTCCCTCGCAGCGCTGCGGCGGTGCGGCGGTGACAGCGCTAACACTTCCCAGAGCCGAGGACCCCGAAGCCGAAATGGCATTGCCCACCCTGAAAGCGAGAAGGTAAAGTTTATTTTTCTATATATATATGTATTTTTTTTCCTCCCCTTTCTCTCTCTCGCTCTCCCGTACCCAGAGCGGATCGAGACCACCAAGAGTGGCCTATTTTTTTTTTTTTTTTCCTTCCATGGTGATGTACAATTCGCATTTGCTAATAAAAAAAAATCCTGCCTGAGGTCATCCACCTAAGTTCTTTTCTTTTTTTTTTTTTTTAACAGGAAACGGGTCTCAGATGTTTATATGTTAAAAAGTAAGGCTGCTAATCTGCTTGCCCCTTTGCCCGGCATCAACAACCATCACATCTTTTCTCCTGCCTTTGGGGCCAAGTTATGTGTTCGCTTAATTTCTTTTAAATCAGAGGAATAACCACTGTCCTGCAATCACTGGATTTGCTTGCCGACACCAAGCAAAGCCACCGCAGCAATGTAAGCCAAAGTTTACCATAGAATTGTGAGATTTTATGCTTATGGAGATGGATTCCAGCAGTGAAGGTGGGAGAAAAGGGCTTAAGGGGCTGCAGCTCAGTGCTTGGTGTTTGTGTCCATCAAACACAAAGAATGCTGAACTGAGAACCTTTCAAGCACTGATGTTTGTGATCTCAGAGCAAAAAAAGAGGAGATTAATCTGCATTGGTAGATTTTCACGCTGTTGCCCAACACACAGTTTCAGCACACATAAGGCAGAGATTCGTTCCCTTCCATTAATCAATATTTTTGATGATCCTTGAGGTCCCTTCCAACTCAAGCCATTCTATGATTCTATGATTTTTATTTCCTTCTTTTCAGCCTCATGCAGAGTAGAGGCTGATAATACACCATTAAAATGGGATAAAGCCGGAGGTCTTTGGACAGCACCTGAGCTGTGAGCTGACACACACTCTGCACTGCCCACCACTTCTTGCCTTGTTTTTCCCAACAGCTTCTCCACACGGTTGACATTTCTGACCCGGTGTGAAGCACAGCCCCCAGCCCACACCTGGTTAGTGGTGTGATGAGAATCAGATTAAATCAGCAAAGAGCTTCGGTAACAAAAGCAGTGGAAGCAGCAGGTAAGGCTTCGGAGTCGCCTTTCTTTGTAGGTAGAGGTCCCATGGATCCTCATGCAGATTTATCTGGGAAAGATACTGGAGGATTGGGCTCTTTGTGTAATAAAATCTGTATTTTTTAATTAACATTGTTGAAATGTGTTCATGAAATATTAATGATGTTTTGCCACGATGTAGGAAAAAGGCAAATAGCAAAACGGCACTGTTTACTGACCACACTGAAAGAGAAATGCTCGGTGCTCAAGGACAGCATCAGGGCATTCTGGCAGTGCAAACAGTATTTTTCCTTCTGAATAATAAAAAAATAACTTCTGAAGCTACTTTGTGCCACTAATTAATGACAGTTTCTCCTTCTGAGCCTTCTGGCAACCACGCCTGAAATTAAATGGCACTGATAACGCGGCGTTTAAATTCTATATTAAACATACAGATAATGAAACAAAAAAGCAGGAGGGTGACTTTATGCACACCGTTTCTGCAATGACGGAACTCGGCGTGTCGGGTTCGTTTATTGGTTTACGTGCAAAGCTTCGCACTGCAAAACACGGCTGTGTGCATCGACCCCTTTCATTCTCTCCCTGCGTCACAGATTGTCTGCGTGCTGTGGTTGTAACTCCGAAAAACATAAGGATGCAGAACTTCAGCAGCCATTTTTCACTGTTTTATGGTGAAGATGGGCTTCTCTATGGAGTGATTGAGATCGGCACAGCGGAGCCCCAGCCTGACACACAGCTCCTTGCCCTGAGCAAATAACTGCGTCTCATCCCAAATACATACTTTGGGGGTTTTATTCCTTCAGTCAGTCAATCCTCTGTTTTTCTCAAAGCCAAAAATCTGTATCTTGCCAGCAAGTTAAAGAAAATAAAAGCCCTCCTTCTTGGCACATCCTCTGTAACAAATGTGGAAGCTCGCCGATGGCCACAAATATATTGTAAAAAATGTGTAAACCAAAGGCGGTGATATTTTCCAAAAGAACACCTGGAAGGTGTAAATCAAAAATATTGTAAACACGTCAGCGGGGAACATACGACAGGCACCCTGGTGTGCTGCACACCCGGCCCATCGCGCACTGCAAATCCGAATCGATAAATCAGGGGATGAACCTTGGGCTAATAAACAGTTTTTTTTTTTTTTATGAAAAGGGGATATTCTCTGCCCCTGGAGCTGCTCTTTGGAGGGGTAGCAAGAGATAAATTGGTTAAATTTAGGAAAATGCAGCAGGCCGTTTTTGTAATGGGATTCTTTACAAAATCGCTGCTCGGAGGAACTTTCAGACAAAACTCAACTTAGTGTTAATTAGCAACAAAACTAATAGCACAATAGCAACCTAGCTGTTTTCTTAAGAAACATTTCTCCGGTGTTCCTTTCCCATCTCCAGCTTTTAATTCTTCATCAGATGCACATTGTATCTGACCTCTAGCAAAGCGAAAGGGGCTGAAATCGGGCAAAAGCACTGCAAAGCCACAGAGCACGGGCAGCTCCGCGCTGCTGCAAGCAGAGCCAGGCTCTCCCTCACGGTTATCTCGGTTGGGTGATAGGAGCCCTATTAAACCACTATCTGCTGGAAAGCGTCATAGAGGCATGAGGTTGGTAAACATTATAAAAACAACCCCTCATAAAAATTTTATGGCTTTACATTTCTGTACGTTTTACAGCCAGCGCGGGGGAAAGAAGCTGCAATGCTTTCTCCTCCACCTTGCTTGCCGGCAGGAGCTTTTTCCTTGCTTTCAGCTCATCAAAATAAATAGAAAGGCTGAAGCACATTCATTTCTCAGGCGTTTGGTGGGGTTGTTTCACAGGGAGAAGAAGTCTTAGGGAAACATAAAGGAACCTCACGGCGCTAATCCGTGTGCTGTAAACAACCGTCGTCCTCTTTGGACACCACGATCATTTTCTGTGTCACGAATCACAGCGTTTTATTCCATAGCCATGCGTTATCTCCTTTAAAACACAGAGAGAAAAACCCATCTCAGCCCATGTTCCATACCCATCCTCACCGCTAATTATTAAGCCACATCAATTGATGAGGATTTTCAGATTGCTCCCCAAAAGCAGTGTAGACGCTTGCTTCCTGGGTGGGTATTTATAGACTCTGAATGGGTCGAGTTGTGAACAAGAAAAAAAAAAAGGTAATTGTGCTTGCGAGTGAGTATTTAAATATTTACATTTTAAATATATTTGCTGCCAGCTGCTGTTAGTGAGAAGAAAAGTAATTTGGGAAATCGCAACCCTTCCTATTTCCCACATTTTTTACTGTAATAAATGCACATCTCAATTTAGCATGCCCTGAAGCTCGAGGAGCCCACATCATCACTCACTAGTGTTGTGGGACTGCACAAGGACTGGGATGTGGGGCTCTGGGCATTGAGCCTGGGCAGCCCAAGTGGCTCTTTGTGTGCAAATCTCTTACTGACCAGTGGCTGTGCTGCTTTCTCTGCTGCTTTCTCATGTTATGACTTCAAGCTTGCATGTAGGAAGGCAGGTGGCCTGAATCATACTTCCCAAACCCCCTCCAGCTCATAGGTCTGCCAGCGTGGCATTTTGGGTGATGACGTCCAGGTTCATGGGAACGCTCCAGTGATGCTATAGCCCATAGCTCAGCCTACACCTCAGTTTAAGTCACTTTGGAAAGTCCAGGAGGCGATAAAGCATCAGACAGATGAGTAAGAGGACATCATGAAGCAATAAGGCAGATGTGTCCTGGGTCTGGGCATCGTCCCCCATTCTCTCCCTCTACAGGTGCTATGCGTGGCCAGCCTCAGTGTGGGGTCATCCTAACCTTGTGAAATTGACAGTTTCCTTTTTTTTATTATAAGATTTTTTTTTTTTTTTTCTCTCATCTTTCCATCTATGCAGAATGGGTTTTACCTGTGCAAGTTTTTGTCTCTGGGATGAAGGAAAAGGCTCACTAGAGTCAAATAAAGTTGGGAATCAAAAGGGGATTTTAGGCCATTCCTGCTACTGAGGACTTCTAGAGAGGGTCTGCTCCTTCACAAGGAGTCTCTTGCAAAAATAAATCCCACAGTGTCCAACTTGCAGAGATCCAACACCTCCTTTTTGTCCTTTGCACTCAGTTCAGCTCAGTTCAAGTACTGGGCTCCCTCCTGCCCTCGGGATGTTCCCTGCATTGATGCAACCAAAATGCACACAGAGCAAACACTCCCGATGACGCAGCTTGTGGTCACAGTGCTTCATCACCTTCCTTGTATGACAGGGAGGAGGAAGGAACAAAAAACATTGTGATGACATCAAATTCTCGGCATAGATGTTCTTCAGCTACCGTGTACCTGGGCAGTGGTTTCAGTGCTTACAGGGTCTGCGTTATCTAACAACACTGGTGAGGTTTTTACTGGTGGGTTCTCCAGTGATTGTGCCATTGGCTCAGGACAGGCAATGGAAGAGCAGAGGCTGCAGCTACCAGCTTTGCTTGGTTTGGTGGCTTCCAAATGACCCCTGCCACCATTTTTAAAGGTTTCGAGTAAAAATTAGCCTTGTCCAAATCAGTGCCAGGTCACTGCCTTGAGATCTCACCCTCCTGTCTTTACCTGCCTGCCATTACTCAATGTATGAGAAGCTTTGCTTGGAGGAGCTTACCAAAGAGCAAGAAAAACAGCCCAACTCTGGAAATACTACTGTTTACTTTAAAGCACATTTTGTTTCCATTTTTTCTATAAATATAGAAGAAGTGAAAATCTACTGTTGTGTAGGCCCTGTCACTTCAACAGCAGTTGAGCAGAATTTCTCACATGGTCTCTCAAGTGCCCAGAAAATTCTTCAGGAAATGCCCCATACAATACAGTGAGGCATCACATCCTTCTGCAAATCACTGGGAGCTTGAAAACACTCATCCCTGGACAAAAAATAAAATAAAATAAAATAAAATAAAATAAAATAAAATAAAATAAAATAAAGCAACACAATGAAATCTCAACTCTTAGGGACAGGCTGGGATGGTGTGTCCTGCAAAAGTGGAGAAACACCACCAAAAGTTGTGAGGATGTCCCAGAGTTGTGTTTTCAGCGTGGCTCATGTCATAGCAGTGCAGGTTTGCATGCAGTGCATTTAGGTATTTGTTCTGGTGCAAGAGGTTGGCTGAAAGTGTTTTGTTTAAGATTTCGGCGAGCCAGGAACAAGAAGATGAGTGGGAAATGCACCATTAGGAAAGCAAAAATGGCAAATGGACGTAAGCTCATTGCATACAGCTTGCTGGAATATTTTCACAATACCTGAAATTCTTCTTTTATCTGAATTCAAATGTTCCTGACCCTTGGATATGCAGAATGGGGAGAAGCAATGAGTGGATCTGAGCCTCTGTTGCACTCTCCAGCACCACAATTCAGTCCCCATCCTTGACACCCATCAGCTGTCTCATGGATCCCACCCGGATTCTAAAAAGTGCTATTCCCAGGATATTTCCCTACCTTACATGGGAAAGAAGTGGTATTTCACATGTTTATCCTGACCTGATGCCCCAAACCTGGAATTTGAGAGTAGGCGCGCTCAATTCTGTTGCTAACCCACTGCTGTTGCTTACAGGGAAAGCATCTTTTTATTCAACATTGAGCTCTGTTAATTAAAAGGGAGTTGGAAATGTTGTATCTCTATTGTATCTCAGATATCACAAACGTGGTTCAAGGGGAGGAAAAGCACCAAAGCAGGGCAGGGAAGAAAGGGAACAACACCTTCACATGACAGATGGAGAGATTTAGTCCCACCTTGAGGTTTGGGATAGCTCAATTTCCATCTGTATGATGGAAGAATAGGATGAATGTAGCCATAACCGGAGAAGGAGAGGAATCAGAAGAGCTAGAAAGGAAACAACCCAAAAAGAGCCAGAGAACCTTTATATTAAGGTGAAGCTGGAGAAAAGGGGGTGTGTTGTTCATTAATTATGCCCACAATTAATTGAAGACATACAGAATTTCTGCCTTCCACAGCTTTAGGAAGTCAGAGAATGTGAGAATGGGCTCATGTTGAAGAAAACCCTCCTTGGCTGCACAGCTGCCCACAGAATGCAAACTGAGGCCAGGAGGAATTCCTTGGTGTTGACCATCTGAGGCTGGAAATGAACTGTCGACAAGTAAGTATGCAGTAATACAGCCCGCAGAGAAAGCTCCGTCGTGCTGAGAAATTGAGGAGAGCAGGAAAACACCTCAGAGGGCACTTCTTGGTGTGCCAACAAGAGCTGTCACGTCTGTACCCATCTCCCTTAGGTATGGAAAAAACAAAACAACCCTTCCTGAGGTTTTCTCTCCGTCAGCCTCATACTAAACTGTGGATGGGATCAGCATCCCAGGTGCCTCGTTCCTTTCTGCAAGACATGCCAGCGTGATGCTGGTGGGGAATGGGAAACTGGGGAGAAGGAGTGGTTGCCCTCTGAAATATCCCCCAAAATGCCACCCTGGGGCTGGTTGCCTCTCGAGTGACATATTTCTTTCAACGTTCTGTGCTTCCAAAGAAGAGTTTCTCCATGACTAATGTTTATCAGTGCTTTGCTGGTGCTGCAGTGACGGAGCTGGCATTAGGAAGAGAAAAGCAACTTGCTTTCCTCTGCAAGGGGCCATTGAGCAGTGAGATAATGCTCTTCCCAAAAGTGCGTGCTCACTGCTGCTGGGTCGCTGCCAGGAGCGGCCTCCTCCATTCCCTCTGGAGGTGGCAACAATGCACATGTGTGTCATTTCCTGACCTCTGTGGAAATCTCAGGGCTGATATTCAAGAAAAGAAAAAAAGAAAGATGGAAAATCAAAGGCCTCCCCTAGGAAGACTCCACCTTCCAGATTGCTCCGTTTCCACGTCAAGTGTCTCTTCGTGTCTTGTGCTCCATGGCCAAGGCTGGGTCTTGCTCTGGGGTGAGTCAGCCCCAACTGTCCCCAAGGGAGGGGACAGCAGACCACCCTCAGGCAGTGGGCTCACATCCTGCCCATGGATTTCCAGGAACTTTTCCTAATGCTTTAAGCTATAAAAAATCACAAAAACATCAAAATACATCCAGGCAGGGCTGTCTATCCTGGAGACACCATGTAGACAAGCCCACCGTTTGAAGCCATCCTATATCCATTGTCATACTGGGGCTTTTTGCTCCCAGACCTTCTTCAGTTGGAAGTAAATCTGTTTCACCATCAGGCTGCATCTCTTCATACCTACTGCTATTATAGCTCTCTGCAATTCCCTGAAAAGATATTGTAGAGAGGTGGGTGTTGACCTCTTCTCCCAGGTAACAGCACCAAGATGAGAGGTAATAGCCTTAAATTGTGCCAGTGAAGGTTCAGGTTGGATATTAGGGAAAATGTCTTCTCAGAAAGAGTACTGATGCTCTGGCACAGGCTGCCCAGGAGATGGGGGAGTCACCATCCCTGGAGGTGTTCCTGTAAAGATGTGGCACTGAGAGACATAGTTAGTGGGCATGGTGGGATGAGCTAGGGTCGGATTTGGGGATCGTAGATCTTTTCCAACCATCATAAGTCTATGCTATGATTCTAATATATGGGTCCAGAGGAAAGGCCAAGATATTTGGTTGTTTTGGGGCACCATGCTTCTGGAAGCTTTCCATTCTTTAGGACCCCGAAGGCTTGAATCTATTCCACTCACTCTATCTTGTATTGCTGTGTTTTGCCAAAGCACAGAACAAATGAGTGGCAGGGTTGGATAAACAAGCTTAAGGTAAACATTATCTGCATGTATATCCTGATTTATAATGTACGTGCATCAGTTAAAAATTTACTTGAATTTACCACAGTGTTTTAAGTAATGTTATTAAGAATGTAAGTTCTTAGGAAAACTCAGTCTGTTTTTAGCCCAGACATGCAATTAGGGGAATTAGTAACACGATACGTCATCTTCAAGAACACACAGATACAGTGGTCAGAAACCTCATGCAACCCTCTGGAAGGAAATTTTGCTCGCAGCATATGTGAGTGCTCTCTTGCAAACCTCCTGATTCTCACCAGGAAATAACGTGACCTCCCCAGGGCAGCACATGGCCCACTTGGAGGGCACTGAGGATGAAAGAGGGGAGATTCAGGTTAGATGCTGCCCAGAGAAGATGTGGATGCCCCATCCCAAGGCCATTTTGGATGGGGCCGTTGGCAGCCTGATCTGGTGGGTGGCAACCTGGTCCATAGCAGGGGTTTGGAACTGAATGATTTTTAAAAGTCCTTCCAATCTAAGCCATCCTATGATTCTATGAGTATGCAATCCAATATTTTGATGGTATTGGGTGAACATGAGTGTGCCACCTCTGGAGAGCATCACCACCATGACTTTGCATTCTGCACAGGCTTCCTGCACCAGAGGCATAAATCAAACAGCACCCGAACCCCCAACCTCTACCAAAAACCTTTGCATTTACTGCTCTGCTCAGGACCAGATGGTGAGGGCAAAAACAACTGCCACCACCATACATGGGCTCGCATCCCATCCCAAAGCTGTGCAGCCCCTCCACTTATTCCCATGGCACCATGACCAGAGCCCTTTCTGCTGCTGGGACAGTGGAAAATTCCAGGAAAAAAAAAAAAAAAAAAAGCAAAATCTCTCCCTCCCATCTTCTTTCTGAGGGTTCCAGAAACTCCAGCTGAATTTCACAAATTCAGGTGGCTTTTGGCCAGTTTGCGTAAGCCAGAGTCCAAATTTTTGGTTGCTGAACAAAGCTTTGACACAAGTCATTGAGGTTTCTTTATCGCTAGCAACAATCTTTGCTTTTGTTTTTGTTTTGCTTTCAGCCTCTAGCACTGCTGCAAAACAACCTGATCCTGCTACAGGGACGCGTGTGAGGAAAGCAAAAATACTGCTCAGTAAATAGCTGCAAACGATAGAGGATCCTGCAGAAATGCTGGAAAATATGAAAAGGCCAATGAAGCAAGGGGGAGAAAAACGGGGTTTTCTTTCCTCCTCTAAGAAAGAATGCATTATCTGGAAATCCCACTTTGTAGTTTGGCATTTGTTTTGGTGTTGGTTTATTTCAGCAACCAAGTCTGAATAAAGAACAACCGCAGAAACTGTACTCCAAAGCTCCAGCGGTGGGTGGCAGATTTCTCCCTCACCACAAATATCCTTCCATACTTGTCAGTCCAGATTGAAAACATTTTTTGCTGTTGTTTGTGTATCTCATCTTCCATCACTCTCAAGAAGGGTCAGGAACAATGGGTTTGATGGGTTTTGGACCTAAAAAGGAAATTTTTCTTCTCCTTTCAATTCCATAGTGGCTCATTGCAGAGCTCAAAGGTTAGAGTTTGTCCTATCTATGGGAGCTGTTATGGTCCCTCTCTTTAAGCCGAGGGATGGATGGTCATTGATGGTCACTTTCTGTGGGATTCTTGCAAGATTTGAGTATCCGAAGCAAACTTCTCACCTGCTGGGCTTGCCTAGTGAAGTAAAGTGCAAAATCATCACATTCTTTGAGCTTCAAGTTCTTGCCTGGAGAAATCTCAGCCTTGGGTAGGGCAGAGGCACCTCCCTATCAGAAGGAGGATCCCAATCCCCAAAAATGTGTGCTTGTGCTTCCAGACACGCACAGCCCCATTGATTTAGTGCACGCGTACGTTTGCGCAGCTGGGATCTCGCACTGTAAGCTTCTGCCAGATAACTGTACAGTGAGGAGCCCTGATTTGCTCTGGGCTTTTTGCAGTGCATAAAAACACCATCCCCAAGAAGCACAGCCCTGTTGGGTCTGATGTCAGCATGCAGGAGTGTTCACTCATCATGGAATGTCCTGCAGATGGTGGGGTTTTGGAGAGCACAGCACCCAGCAGCACCGTGCACCCCTTTACCCAAATATCTTCAAAATGTGCTGGTTTAACTTCACAGCTTTTGTATTTCCACATCCTCAGAAAAACCCTGGACCTACCCAGCCCTCAAGTGGTCTCATTGCGGTTGAAATCCTAGAATCATTAAGGCTGGAGAAGATCTCTAGGATCGCCAATTCCAACTCAACCCATCCCAGCATGCCCACTGACCACGTTCCTCAGTGCCATATGCCCACAGTTCTGAAACACCTCCAGGGACGGTGACTCCACCACCTCCCTGTGCCAACGTATTACCAGTCTTCCAGCGAATATATTTTTCCTAATATCTAACCTAATTCTTGGAGCACACCCAATAAACAAGGAGTCCTCCAGCAGATAAGGTCCTCTTCCCTATTTCTCCTGCTTTTGGATCAGCAAGACCTGAGGTGCTCGGAATACAAGGACTTTGTCCCCAAAGCGGTGATAAGGAATTCAGCAGCTGCTATGTGCCAGCAGGCTCTGCCCTGGGCTCTTCTGGTCCATTTCAACATCAGTGCTGGATTTTGGGGGCTGGAAACAGCAGACACCCACCCAGACAGCCACAGGCATCCCCTTCAGGCACGGTCCTTGCTCTGCTCTGATGGAGGTGTGGAAGAGCCCCGTTAAGTCTCCTGCCAGTGCAGCCTTTCTGTTGTTGTTTTCCATGAGAACACAATATGTTTATCTAGCTTTGATTTTTTTCTTTCCTTTTTTTTTGTTTTGTTTTGTTTTGCTTTGTAGCTGAATGAACTGATTATTACTTTCATCTGGTTCCCTCTGAAGGGTCAAATGAAGCCCAAATAATAAAATTGTACGCGAGTGTGTGTATATATTTATAATTAATAGGTTACATACTGAAAGATGTGGGTCCCAAAAGAACGTGTAAAGAGAAAATGCTCTAAAACTCGATCTTTATTTTGGTTCAACCTCAACAATTTCCTGCAAAGCACAAGCGGTGATATAATACGGGGCAGATCAAACCAAACTTTAAAACCAAACCTCTACTCTGCTTCTCATGCCAAATGTCATCCCCTTAAGATGTGCTTTTCTCCATCTGGCAATTTTGGCTTCCCTGTGTTCCCTTCAAGACTTTGGACCTTTTGCTAAAATGTTTGTGATATGACTCAGAATAACAAACAAGACACGCAGAACCTTCATTCAGTGGAGCACAATACTGGCAATAAATGGAGCTGGCTCAACAGGAGGGTTCTGTAGACACCCCATGAAACTCAAAAGAGAGAAATAAATCAGCAACTAATGCATTTTTCTTCCCCAACCCACCCACCCCCTACCCCACCCCCCTTTTTTTTAAAGAGAAATCAGAACTATTTTTCAGTAAAGTTAAAACTTTTCCAGCTTTTCACCAAAGCAAACAGAAAACAGGTGCGTGCTGAAAGGATTTTGGCCAGGGACGTGCGGAGAAGTGCACATGGGTTTTCCTGTGAGCACTCACAGCTAATGGGCTTAATTTTGCTCTCAGCAATGTTGATGCAAGCTTTGCCATTTCCCTTCAAAGAAAACAGGCAAGACACCTACAGAGCCACGGTGTATAGAAGAACAAGAAGCGTAAGGCAAGTTTTTCTGGCAGTCTGTGTATTTTAAGGGTTGTCACAATCCCATTCCAAACCCTTTGCTCTGGAAAACAGCACTCTGCTCACTGAAGCTTCATTAAAAAATAAAGCCTTTCCTTGCATTAAAATACATAAATCCAGAGAGCAGGAAGCAAGCGTGGTCTTACTTCCCAGTAGTTCTCAGCCACTTGCTTGCATTCTGCTTTTTGATGCACTGCATTGCGTTGGCATCTTGGTGGAAGGTGTACACATCCACCACCCTGAAAGATGTGCCATTGATTTGCAGATTCCAATCTGGACTTTCTTCTGTTGCTCTATAAAAGCTCATTTCCCACTGTTTTTTTTTTATTTAAGAGCAGAGTGGCACTGACATTGTCACCACTAAGGATGCAGTCTGGGAAGCAGAGAGAACAAGGCAGCTCCCGATGATGGATGGCATGGCTAAGGGCAGAGCCACTGTTCCGTGCCAGCCCTCTGCAGAGCACCTACGATCTCAGGGCTGTCTGAGCCAACACGTCCTAATGCACAGAAATCCCGAGTGCTTAAAGCCTCCCCTATCCATGACCATAAAAGTCCAGCAACTCTGTGCGCACGGATGCCTCACGCATGTGCCTCGAGGAGCAGATTGCCAGTTTGGCACTTGGCAGCCTATGCCTGCCACGGGCAGCAAAGCCCATTTGTCACCCAGGAGCGTGTTGAAGCCATGTTTACATAAATCCTAATGCCTCCCCCTTCCCAGCAAATGAGTCTTTGTACCATGGATCTGGGACAGGCAGGGATGGAGACGGCAGGACTGCTGCCATTGGGTGGGTGACAATGGGGGAGCCACGTCCATGAAGATGCAGAAATCCCTCTCCCCAAACTGATGACTCTGCCCTTTCCTGTCCCAGCACAAAATACTGATTGAAATGAGCTGAAAAGCTCAGAAAGCAGAAAAACAGCCCTGCTTTCCACCCTAGTGGTATGGGATTTATTAAAGAAAGCCCTCGGATGTGAAGAAGGAAGAGCGGCTGCTTCACGGTGCTTTTGAAGGCTTTATTAACCTGAAGGCTTGGAAAACAGCTCTGCGCTGTGCATGAGCTCTGCTGTGTAATGAGTTGCAGAAAAGCTGCCCTGCCCAGGTGGATGGGGGCTGCATTCTGCAGTGCTCAGTTACTCCTATTTCACTTCTCATGGGCTGCTCAGCAGCAGGGCTGACACCTTCAACCTGCAGGCAAGGAACTAATAAATTGAGCAATAAATTGAGCCAGTTTTGTCACCGCTGACATCCAGACTGGGTTGGGAGCATCCCTGTATAACCCAATTCCCTCCATCCAGATTATTTCCCATCTCCCTTCCTTCATAACTTGTTCTAGCAGAAATGCTAGGTCACAGCTTGAAGCAGTGATTGAGCATCTGGTAGGAAGGCAGAGCCAGCCCAGGGGAAACTCAGGTGTGTGCAATGTACCTGAGTGACCAGAAGGGCTGGAGCCAGGATCCACCCCTTCCCAGACCTCATTTAAGGGTTGGCAGCGGAGGCAAAGCTATCTCTCTGGTGATCCTTGTGTGTTTGAGGTCTTCTGAAGGTAAGCAGCTTCCTTCTTTTATTTCTGTGCTGAAGGCTGTTGCGTTTGAGCAAATTTTCACTTGCTGCAGCCTGGGATGTTGCTGTTCTGCTGTTGTTGCTGCTCATTGCATTGCACTTGTACTGTTTGATATAATCAGGTTATTGATAATCCTAGAGTCTGACGATGTCTCCATAAGTGCTGATATATCAGGTATGGATGACTACACGGCCTTGTTTGCTCATCAGCCTTTGCTATAAGGATGCTCAGTTGTTAAGCACAATGAGATCACTCCAGATTTCCAAGCCACATCTTTTCATCTCTTGGGTAGGTGCAGTGGTACCAAGCCTCTGCAGAAGAGAATGCTGTTTCTCTGGATGCTTTCTTCTCTGTGCAATTATTTATTGCAGTGAGTGGGGGGGATGATGAGAGCAGTTGCAAAGAGATGAAGGGGGGAATGGTGTTGATGCTTCCTGTGCTGCTGTTGGGATACTAATGGGCAACCCTCACCTCATCCCTCTGCTCCTTCATCAGATTACAGGTTTCAGAAATCAGGTGGGTTTTCTTTAAATAGGGAATTGGGAAGAGGGGGTGGGGATGCAAGACTGCTGGGGAAGTTGTAACTGAATCTGTGGAGTCTGGCCAAGGGATTCATAACTGGGGTGTGCTTATGAGTTTCCAAGCTGATTAAGTGTGTTTCCTTTCCCCCACACACAACACTGTTGGAGCTGATTGGGCTCTAAGTGTAGACTCATTAAAATGATGATAATGAGAGAGTGTGGAATTGCCCTACGGGGGGCTGAGTGAAAAAGCACGTGTCACATGGACAAATAGTTCATAATAGACCAACTGATTTGGCTTGGGGAAGAAGCAGGAAAAATTTTGGTCTTGTGAGCTCTTCGTGTGGGGCTTTAAACATTACTGGGGTTGATGCTTTTCTCCCTGCATCTTATTCTGATGTTACGTTGCCCAAGCACAGTAGTGGGCCACCTTTGGGGTGGACTTGCTTCCCATTATGTCCAACCTGAATTTCTTCCTGA